AAGGCATTTGCCAAATTGAAATAATTGTTCTCAACTTCTAATATAATTTTAATTAAATTACCATTGAAAACTTTTTTAATTTTTAATTTACATTTTTATTTTAGAAATTTTAAGCCGATTTTGATCTTAATTTTTTAAAATATTTAACATTCAATAAGAATCATATAATGATATTCTTATTGAATGTTTATAAATTAAATGTGGATTTTATTATACATTTTCTCAAATAACTTTATCATAATTGAATTCCTTTTACAAATCCCTAAATCCACGTTTAAAAATATTTTAAATCTCCAATATAAACAACTAAAGCCCGAGATCGTTCGTTAACCTTTATAATAAAATCTACAAGCATACGTGTTGCCAAGATTACATTATACAATTATTTTACATGAAATATTTCACACCACCCCCGTAATTTATACTTACAAGCTTAAACACATCAACATAAACATCGGTGTGTTATAATACTGATAGAAGCTATTACTACAACATTTTCTTTATATGCAATAATAATAAGTAAAGTGTTATGGTTTATATATTTACCTTCTTCCAATAATAAATAATAATAATAATCAATTGTTGTTTTAAACTTTATATGCTTACCTTCTTCTAATAACAATAACCCAAGACAATTCAGTTATGGGTACTAGATAACTTATATAAATACTTAGATATATATTTTTTTGTAAATTAATAAAAACTATAGAAAACAACTCATCAATACAAATCTTGGTGGCGAGAGAGAAATCAAACCGGTGTACCTTTAGACTACCGAGGGCGTCAACAACAATGTCTCAGATAACATATAAGGTATATATTTAGCTTATATATCGGAACTTAGAATAAGAAATGTCATTCCAAAACAAATATTATTATCTGTAGATACTAATATAATAAATATACTTGTGTCTGTTTGTTTTTGTCTTTTCACGTCTGAACCATAATAGATCATATTTTATTATAAAAAAGCAGTAGATACGGAAAACAGATACTCTATTACAATATCAGTAGGATTTCTGCTTAGTATTAAAATCCCCTACAAAAATCATATAACTCAAGTCATTGTTTTTTCTATGCTACCGATTTCTATCTCCTAATTCGGAAAGCAGTTTCAGCCAACAAGAATAACAAGAACATCAAACATTCTCGAAAACATTTCCTTTTTGGTGCCTGTATTTATATAAGCATTATACAAATTTTGTTCATGTAAATATTAAACAATCTGTCACCCAATGATTATCCCTTCGATGTTATGTTTGTTCCGTTCATGATTTATGTAATGTTTATTTATAGCTTTAAGATTTAAACGATATTTGGCCTTTTTAACTGTAATGTCTGTGTATGTGTAGTATATGTAGTCTCTCTTTATTTAAGAAAGTATAATTATATTTGAAAGGAGATGTAGTCAAACAAGTCTTTTCCCCAATTTATGCTAGTATTGAAACTGATTTTTAAACTTTGAGCTGACATTTCGAATCCTCTTGCAAAGGAGTAAAATTATTTTTTCGCATATTTCATTTTCAGTATTATTATATCACTTCTTTTTTTGATATAATGATATGATATATATTACATAGATTACCACGACGCGTTCTGCTCGGTGCAATAGCGAATGCAAAGAGAGATGTAGGGAGGCCTTTGCTTCGCTTTAAGGATTGCGCCAAACGTGACATGGCCACATTTCAAATAGACCACCGTGGCTGGGAAAAGCTCGCAACCAGTACAGCAGATTGGGTAATGGAGGGTCGAAAGGTTTGCGATGATGCCTGGCTTCAAAGGCTTGCTGACAAGAGACGGAAGCGCCACCTAGGCGGCTTAGTACAGACTACTGCCAATAATTTCCCTTGTCGAGCCTGTAGGCCATGCCGTTCTCGTATTGGTTTATACAGCTACGAAAAGAGCTGTTCACGGAGCCATAATTCGTCTATAAAAGACGCATAGGCCATTATATTATATTATTATTCGTAATATAATTCGTATATTTTATACTGATATTACGGTTGATTATTACGTATAATTCGTAATAATCAACCGTATCAAAAATTATGTAAAATCAATACCATTAGGTGATTCCAAAACATAATATTGTGACACATGGACGGAGAGACGGATCACCAAAGCGTTCAATTTTTTTACCTATTTGTTTTAGAATTCTAAACAATTGTAGTGAAAAAGTAGTTGAGCAACTGGGTTTGAGCTGTTGCATCATATCGTAACAGCTTGCGTCACACACAGTGCCGGACGAAATTTTCAGACAATGCTTTATGGGCAATAAAATCCACAATGAAACTACGGCACACTGACAGCTGTTATAGGCTCTAAACAATAAATACTGAAAACTATAATACTGTTCTATTTTTATCAATATTGTGCTATTAATATTGAGACAGATATATATTTGTTAATTTATATTAAATATAATAGCAATTTTTGTTAATCAAGTAACGTGGAAACCTGGGTGGTTGTTAGGTCAACAAAATCAAAATAATATGTAATTTCTGAAATAGCAAAAAAACTTTGTAAACTAAATAATACCATGGAAGTGATCTGAAGGTGGAACTGCAACGTGGTTGTATTAACTTCGTAATAAAACAAAGCGAAATCCATTCTATATAGTCTAACTTTGATTAATCTTGATAAGTAGATCGCTGACAGGTAGATTTGTATCTAATAACGAAGCCCGAAGGTATAAATTGAACAAACGGTTCTTTATACAACAAAACATATTTCTAAATTGTAATTTTACACTCCAATATTATTTTAAAAATCAATGTAAGTATGCAGCTGTTCCAGAAGGTTCGAATATTTCTTATAGAAATATTTTTTAATTTATTTTATATTAAACTAGTGTTTCTTCTATTGTGTTTGATTTTATACATAAATATATACTTTATCTTCTTTGTAAATGTCTATAAGATGGGTTTAGCCGTTTAGTCCAGAGGAATAAACTGTAATACTCTCGTAATTATTATTATATTATAATAGTATAAACATATTGAAACTTATTCTCAATGGATGATAAAGTTAAAGAATGATAAAATAAAATATATACACGAATAACATGTATTTCCTTAGAAATAAGTCTAAATAAAAGACAAGGACATTTCAATGTGTCCGTCTGTCACTTGTGATTGTGATGCGTGTCCCACGAACTGTCGTGTGTGGAATTTTGTTTATTGTAAAGAAGTTTGCGAATTCTAAATTTTATATTTTGTTTTTACCTGTATTTTTTACATAATCATTATGTTTGTAAAAATAAATACGGATGAATAAAAATGAGAGAGAAAATATAGATATCTTATACTGTCCGCGAAATTTATTGTACATATATATGTATTTAAATCGTTATAAGATAATTTTGCACTTATGTTACAACGATTTAGGTACATAAGTGAAGTTGTTTACATAATTGGCACAATTTGCATTTGACATCATTATTCGTTAGTAAATTTGTGTATTATCTGATTTTAAGATGTGTGTCAGTCTATAACTGTGAAACAATACAGCTGTTGTAGACATGTAGAATGTGAAATACCTAATATACTGTATCTAATAGATGAGCTACATATTACGATAGATATATTTTATAATATATATCTTTCATAATTCTTATTGGAGGAATAAATTTACCTATGTTGCATAAATCAGCATAGTATTTGCACTGAATAACTGTCCACATTTCGGTGTCTAGTTGAGAAAATAGTGTAGGTATTCAATATTTTTAATTTTAGCTGTCATTTGTCAAGAAACCGCGCGTGAATTGTAAACTGTGCCAAATAGTGATTCTTTAGTAGTCTAGTAGGTGATTCATTGAATGGATGTTTTTGTTAAGTTTCAAAGGTAATATCAGATCACTCATCACTCATCGTCAGATGTAGTCATATTAATTGTAATTATTTAGGTAAATAATATTACACGTTTAGTGATAATATATTGATATTATAGAATTTGTATGGGGTAGCCAGAATACGTGTGAATTTTTTTTTCTCTTTTTTTGGGATTTTATACACAAAATGTGACGATGACAATCCCATCGTACCACAAACCACGTACGTACCACTTTCCAAAAAATCAACTTAAAAACTTAAAGTTATGTGATACCATCCAGAACAATAATTTAAGGCGCACTAGGGTTATTGTAGGTACATACATATATCTGTCACGGTTGCGGTTGAATGCTAACGCGACCTGTGGCCTCGTCACCGTAGAGAGCGGAAGACACCCAGGGGGTTTTATCAGGTAAGAGGCTAGCAGTACCTATTTGCTTCCCCCTGGATTCCAGAGATGAGGGTTTTCCCCAAATTAAGAAAAAAAAAGTTATTGTATCCTTTAATAATGTTCTTGTATTATTGTGTCCACCTCCTACGAGAATTATATCAAAGGTACAGTATGCGTCGGATAGAAATATGATTATGATTACTTTATACTGTTAATATAAGCGAACTACCATTGGCTAATGAATATGTGGTATTAATACACCGCCCACGTGTCGATCCCGGTGTCATAAACACAGCATCAGCGGTTAGAGAGCACAGAAAACACCTGTTCAGGTGGGCGACATGGCCAGGGTCGCGGAAAATATTCCCTAGTGCTGCGCTTGCGCAACTAGTCATTTCGTAAGCAATCATCTTTCGCTACTATCACGTGATATATACTCCTGGATAATACAGTGATACAATTCAAATTGGACATCATTTTTAACATTAAGTTTAGTAAAAGTGCTACTCAAATTTGAAACAGTTTTCTTTATTTCTTTATTAGACTGTTGTGTGTGTGTGTGTGTATTATACCGGCAAATTAACAAATACGCATACTATGTGCGACTAATAAAGATTGTATTAAAGTATCGACCAAGAATGAGACACCGTAAAACTCAGTTTCCGGCGCGACCTGATGCAGTCATTAGCTGTGGCATACCAACGTCGTCATGCAAAATTCTACGACCCCCTGTCTGTATGAATTTATAAATAATCCCGGTAAGCCAGTGGCGGCGGCGGTGCGGCAGACCGCGCACGGCGCGGGCGCGCGATCCGCGATGTACGCCGCTCTGACCTGGAGCGATTCGCGATCAGCCATTACTAGTTCAACCTAGGAAATGCGCTCCGAAGTTCAAAACGCGCGATCCAACAAGCAGAAAACGCCGCGAGTGTTCATTTAGTTCTACATTTACAGCATTTCCATATTTAAAATATTCTTTTACAATGTTCTTGTGTTGGTATTGAGTGTAAAGTTTATTCAGTTCAAGTTCACGACAAGTATGACTCGTGTCAAGTCATGCCGTTAATTCAATTGGGTATGAGGAGTCATCGAGATTGTTGCTCTGGCGTCTGTCTGATTAGACATACAGAGCAGACAATGTCACTTCCAATTTGAGAATGTATAAATTGTAATTTGCGCAGGTCACGTGACAATTTTCATTTTCATATAACACTATCGTTTAGCATTTAATATTTTAATATTGCAGTACTTCACACTGCAAGATAAGAACTTTACGAGCAAGTTAATTAGTAATGCAGGTGGAACTTTATTCGTCTGTAGTTCTTCAGAAAAGAATAATATGTCCACAGATACAGCTACGTGATGCTGTCATTGATAAAGTTCATCATATCGCGGTAATTTACGATTACTAGATAACTTTGAAGAATATTTATGTATATTTAAATAGTGCTTGTAGTTTGATCATACATAGGGCTGCGACATCAACGTTGCCCACTTTTGTGTTTAATGATTCTTTCGTTCGTTTCACAGCGGCTTTCATGTGTGGCTAATTTTAACGAACATTCGCGTGGACGGCGTCTCATTAGTGTCTTCATTTATTTGTTCATTGTTATTGGCGTGTCTATTTTTAATGTATGTACGTTTCTATTCCAGAAAATTTTTAAGAAACGTTGAATTCGTCATTTGTAGATATGTACGATTTTATTCTTGCGTAGAAAACGTTTGATCATCATAATCGCTTTTTAATGCTATTAGTTTATGCAGAGCTTGTTGTTTATTAGTGTGTTTTGTCCTGGGTACGTTTAAACTGCTAAATATTTTTCTTTCATTGGTCAACTAATATATCCATGGGATATAGCTTATCTCTAGTTCGTTTTTTCATAGTAGATTGAGATTCATCAGAATTACTTGATGCGACCACACGACATTTCTTATTACTGTTATTAATTTTTATAACTATTATTTTATGAGATGTTTGATTTAGTTCACTTAATTGTATACTACAAACTTGATTCAAATATCAGCACGGAATATTTTACCTGCCCACACACTATGCGTGGGTTTCAATTATTAAAATTTTATCATTCTAAATCCTTTTTTGGCTCATCGTTTTAGTGAATGAGACAACTTTATTTAATCACATCTCTGAATACTTGTATAATGTATAATAAAACATTATTAAGATAAAATCAACTTTTTGTTTGGCAATCTGTGTATTTTGATGTTTTTCCGAATTGCAGCTTAGCTGAATCTGTGTTCGAATTTCTTGTTGCTAAAATAATTACTATGAGAAAGAAACCTTTTTGATAATGCATAAAATATTATTACTACACCTACCTCATATGAGCTTTTGTTTGATTTTTAGAGAGATAAAACCTTGAGTTGGAAACGTCTATCATTAATCTGTGGATACGTACTTAATGTCTTAAAAACAAACACTTATGACACACGACCTCATAGTATGTTACTATATACGTCAGTTACTATTGAACGGGGTTTCTTTTGTTCCTTTAATAAATAGCATTTCAAGCCATAAGACTGTAAATAGTATTTAGCAATTTTTCCTATAGTGTCTGTCATTATATTTGGAAGAATCGTTGGTATATATTATTACTCGTAAATATGTATATTTTTTATTTTTGATAAATGGATTTAGGAAATGCTATTTAAAGTTTTAAAAGATTTTGACATGTTTAGAGATTGGTGCCAACGTATAACTGGAAATCTATTTGTCTTCCTTACAGTCATATTAGATTAGGAAAGTAAATCGAGATACATTTGTTAGCTGTATGACATTTGGATCTATCAATTTAATATTGCTTTCGTATGACGACTATCCTCAATGCAACTTCTGCCCACGTTTTAGTTTCGACACGATAAAGTGCCATAACGTTCATACGTCAAACAAACAGAATATACCTTGGTCAGTTTTCCATTGTTGGTCCCGTGGGCGGCTACGTAAGGAATTACATCAACGACCTTCTGTATTATAGTGTTTTTATTGCTTTATTAAGATTTGTATACTAATCAAGGTCTTGTGTCATTAGAATATTTATTGTTTTTATATAGTGTATTTTGACTAATAATTTTGATTAATAACTTTTAAATTTAGTTGCATAATTGTCATTAAAATAACACGTATGCTTCTATATTACGAATGTATATACTACATCATGCAAATATTTTGTTTACAAAATATGCGAATTATATTTTGTTTTCTATTCATTAATATTTTTAGAGATTTCTTGTTGTCTTTTGTAACTGTACTGCATACCGAATATCCAGTGGTTCTGTCTATTCATGTGTAAGATGTAATTGCTAACAGATAGTTACGCAAATCTGATTGATGATAACGATCCGGCAGCTATTCCCGTTAGTTCAATTTGGCCACCGTGCTGTCTGTCTTGGGGTTCGTTCACCTTCAAAACTTATAGTCATTTCTAGGTTGTGTCTTTATACAGTGTTTTTTCTACGGCGCTATCTGGTTTGCTTTGTCAGATCGAATCGCGATGTCTCTATTTGATGCGTGGAACTAATTAAGTATCATGAAAAGATTTATTGGTAATGGTATACTGGTACCTAAACCTAACATGAAAACTTCTAAGTGATAGCGGAGTTGAAAAAAAATAGACGAATTTAATTTTCATTCATAATTCCACCATTTGTACTAATAAATAATTGCTTCAAAATTACCAAAACGCCAACGTTTGCACTCTCATACTCATACTCTCATTCTCTGTAAGCGTCGAACTATTCCTATCGCTTTACACACTATGCGGTAGGGTTCGGTATATCTGGACAGTAAAGGTTTTCATTACAATCAAGATTGGGACCACCTTTGTGTTGCTAATTGATATTGGCTTATACATGAGCCTGTTCTCGTGATTAATTAGTACATTTTGTATAATAAAATGTCTAATATCTATCATTTAAATACTGAAACTAACATGCATCTCATGATCTTGTAATTTTGTTGCCATTGATATATTAAGTCATCAAGTTACATGCATTCTTTGTTTAGTTTCATTTAAAAAGCTTACAGAAATAGTGATATAAGTGAATACATAGTATGCGACTCCAGTATATAGCATAAAACCAAAGTGAGTTTAGTGTACAGTGTGAGTGCAACAAATCGTACAAAATGATGCAAGGATTGCTGGAGTCACTGTACAAGATCTACACAGGTAAGACTCGACATGTGACATTTGTAATGTGATGTGACATTTTGTAGATTGTTATCTGTTGAATGACACCGCTAATGTCAGTTATATTTTTTCTATTGAACTTGTTTTGCATCTTGTTCTCGTATGTTGTTATATACCTGCTATAGAAATTTTGAATAATTAGTTTAATAAGTAGTTTGAATAAAAGTTTGCAGTCTGTTCATATTCACTATGAAATTTATAATTATATGATATTGACGTTTATATACAAATATCTATATATATTATAAAAATACAAATGATGGCTGAATGTACCTGGAAGAGAATACGAGATAAAATATCATTGGGGAACTTTATCACCGTAATAACCCAAAAACGACAATTGTTAGAAATTCTGTGCTTGTCAGTTCGTTTGTGCACACTAATCAGTTAATAAAACTGATTAGAGTGCGGCTTTTATTAATGTATGGTTGTAAAGTTCACTTGTAGCATCGGATTACAATTAATTGTTATTCCGAACACCGGGCACGAAAAAATTGTGTTTTAGTAAATGTAATATACGTTATAGCAAATGACTTGAACAAGATTGTAACATGTATACATTCATGACGAATATTCCCCTAATAAAAAAGTACATATAGCGCAGTAACAATTTTTAAGTTATTAAAGCGCAATCTGGTAAGAAAAGTGACTTCATACTCGCTTGTTTTATTTAAGCTATCTGCTGTGAACGGTATAAATGAATAGCAATATTCTTCTTCCTTATCTAAAGACTAACATAATACTACGGTACTGCAGATTTAGGTGTGTACCTATAAACAGTTTTTTTTATTTTGAGAGAGTTCAAATCAGTTCAATTACGGGTCTCACGGCTCGTTATTTTAAGCTGATTTTAGGGGCGGGGTCCCATGATGTATTCACGTTTAGTTTGTAACGTTGCCGTTTTTTTGTTTAATACTTAATGTTACTAAATTAACTTTTTAGAATGAGGACGACGACCTTGTCTGAACGCTTATTACAATAACTTTCAGACATATCTTCAATTTTTTATCTGTAGAAAAATATTACAATTTTAAGGTTTTCTAATAATAATAAACTAAGTTTAAGAAGTGGAAACTTGTGATGAATGGATTATTAATCTACTTTTTGCTAAAATAATCATATGATTGTACTTTCCCGTGCTTCATATAGGATTTTGATTTAACTCTATATCAGACTTTTTAATCAGAATAATTAATAAAATAAATAATTTAATTGACTTTCTTAATGAATGTTCTATTTATTATAAACTAGCTACCTGCCCCGCCTTCGCACGGCTGTACATGTATTATACATATTTACTTCCTCTTAAATAATTATATTGCTAACTGCATTAAAATCAGTTGTGTTGTTGTGCGTTGTGCTTTCTTTTATATAAGCAACTCCATTTTATACTATGTAAAGATAATTGAAACTTAGTAATATTTAACAGACCTCACATGCTCTGTAATGCAAAACATTTACAATATGACCTACAGTTCAATGTCAAATCATGTATTGAATTTCATCATTTCGATACCTACATTGTTATTATTTTGCCATGATCTCTGTTTGAATATTATACTCGCATTGATCGGTTATCACCACGGTAAATCTATTATCAGACTATTATCAAATGCTACTTAAGAATATTATGATTATGTATATTTTAGTTTATGACAGGAGATAAAATTGATAATACTATTTTAATATGGGATTAGTTAGAGCAATAAGAAACTATTATTGAATTGATTTTGGTTCTTTTACGATAACGACATTCGTGTTTGATTTGCATGAGCTATACGTTACATTATTTTTATCCATATCAATATTTTAAATTCGAAACTGTGACAATTTATTTGTTAGTCTGTTTGTTACCTTTTTATATCTAATCTGTGGAATAATACGTTAAATATAAATGAAATTTAACTCGAAGATAGATACCACGACGGCGGATATAGTATGTTATCTGAAAAAAGCACACGAAGTCGATGGTAACACCTAGTACAATATAAAATCATGTGTATTTTTATTTTGTGAATATAATATGGAAACTACAGATTTTATAACATCATTATTAAAAATGCTTGCACCTTACTCCTCTCTCTATTTTCATGTTTTTATATTTCTTTTAATCATTTTCAAAAAAGGAAATTATTCATTTTTTGGCTATTTTAGCTATTATATACATCCTCATAAGAGGATGTATATAAAAAGTAATCAGGGAATGATCTCACTGCAATTGATTACATACAAGATATTGTGTATCTTTTAGGTATTTGTGATAAAACAGTGTCAATAGCTTCATATGTAGATTATAGTAGATATGATCATATATTTTCGACAGTGTAATGTTTCTGTGAGAGGGATTATAATTTTTCCTTATATCGGAATTTGACTCGTTTCCTTCCTTATACGCGAATTTTAAAATCGGCAATCATAATAGTGACCGCTACTTTTTGCCATTAAGAATGTAGCTTAAATAAATTCAAATTCATATTTAAGCTTGGTGTATAATTAATACACAATAACAGTGTGATGGGCATGAAATCGTAATAACTATTATAATTGATATTTGATAACATTGTCGCAGCCACCTCGGAATTAATACAAATAAATAAAAAGTAATATACAAGTATCTGTTTCAAATTTCATATTAACAGCTTTTCACTAAATTCATATGAAAGTATATTTATTTTTCTAATAAAAAAAAAAAATCCACGCGGTGGCATCGCGGGTAATAACTAGGATACAGTATAAGAAGAAATTTAAAACAATTTGACAATTTAAAATTTACAATGCATTTTAACAATATTCCGGATTTGTTAGTGACAAAAATGCTAAAGAGCACATAATGAAATACTCTTTAACTACAGACACTAAAGTGAATTAACAACTCACGAATGGAGTATTTACTGCCTTCCGCAATCGTTCAGTTTTGAGGTCGGTTTGTAGTGAGAACCCTTAGTAAATCGGATGCAGGTGTGCAACGTCGTGATCGAGCCTGCAAGGTCGAGAGTCAGTGCGGTGAATATCGCCATTGTTATAGCTAATTAAAGATTGGTATGTGAAATGTTATTCATACATTGTAACCGAAATATGATTGAACAATTGATAAAATAAATAGCTGAATTCCGCGGAGCTGTTCGTGTAGTGTAAGTATAACCCAAATTTGCTTGATGATTATGCATATATCTGAAGTTGAAAAGATTTAAAAAAATTACATATGAACACAAAATATCAGATCTTTCCTTTTTAAAATATAAAAGGAAAAGGTGTAATATAAATGTATGGTACTGGGTGTTTACATGTATATCATGTATGTGTTTATAAAAAAATGTATTTAAGTATTTCTATAAGTTGTTTAGTAACACTTGCACTTCTTAACTTTTGTTTATTTATTTTATGTTTAATTTCTCGTTATATATACCTATATATTAATAGATTTCTATACTTCATATCTGCTTAGCTTGGGACTAGATGGCATTGTGTAAATTGTTCAGAGTTATTTTTATTATATTCACATATATATTCACACACGCACAGTATAGATCACATACACATAGTATAGATCGTTACTAAGATTTATTATATTAATATTTTTATAGTTTATTCGTGTGTCAATGTCGCACGCGACTTTGTCTGCTTTATTTTAGATAAACAGTGACAATAGAGTCGTTCAGCGTTAAATAGGTTAAAAGAGGAGACAGACATACTTTCGCATTTATAATACGTATTATTACAATATGTATATCCATGTAATAAATTTAAGATAGGTTATTTTTGTTTCAATGGATGACAATGGAATGGTGCACCCGCCTACGCTAACGGTTTACGCTGACAGGGCACCAGTGGTGGATGATACAATAAGCATGGAATTAGGTCAGTTTCCCCATCGTTGTTAAATAACCAGGAATTAACTACGACGGTATCCAGGGTTATCAGAGAAATGTTAGGGATGCTCTTCGAAACAAATTCTTCTGAACAATAGATATCGTAAAGTATATATCGTTCCAGGCCATAGATTTTCGATCGTGATCGACATTCAACATAGAAGTCCTTTCACCAACTTGGACACTGTCGAAACTGCTTGCCTAAGTAGGGCAGTATTGATCGTTTCCATAATCAGTGTGACAGCAGACGCACAAAACATGTTTGACCTACTCTTAGGCCCTGCCGAATGACAGCGTAGGTATATCCGGGATAATACTGCAAACTTATAACGCGATATTTCGCAAATTGTCACAACTGTTATCTCGTATAAGGGTAGTCAGAGGCATTGTCAACTGTCGATGTTGTGGTGACCGCAACATATTACATGGCTACATTTCGTTCGGTATATTTTGAATCAATAGTAGCAATGGTCCAGTCGTTTACTGGATACATTTTTGGTGTGATATTTTTCCTGTAAGGTTTAATATCTTAATGGAATGCCAAACAAGTATTTTCCGTCGCTCCTATAGGTTGTAGAGTTATGTTATATGGCCTATAACCTACTTCGATAAATAGGCTATTCGACACTAAAAGAATTTTCAAAAAAGTTTCAGTATATCTAGAGATCTTTACAATTTCAGAAAATATGTAACCTTCCTCAATAAATAGATTATCCAACACTTAAGAAGGTTAGTTTATGTATAGATTTACAGCACGATTAACAGCGAATCATATCATGTAACGCCGGTTACTCTATCGTTACGATTCAGTAGAACTACGATGTCTTTCTAACTGAAACATCATCATAATATGTATATATATATATATATATATATATATATATATGTACGTATGTATATGTATGTGTAGTATATACCAGTATAAAGGTTCGTGGAAGTTGACATTCAATAACCGATAAGTTCCAATCAACAAGAATAAATATATTCTCTACATTAATCGGTAATATAAGTACCTATTTACGTACAAATATCAACAAACATCCGAACACTTTCATAAATTTGATATTAGTATTTTAAGAAAATATATTTAAATAATATTTGTAAGAGGTT